GAAGAAAAGTTGAAACGAATTGTAATTTCTACTGGGGGAATTAGGTACACAGAACTAAATGAATCAATAACTCATATATTAGTTGGTGAATTTTCATCATCGCTAGCAAAACTATTGCACTCCATTCGAGAAAAGTAAAAAAATATAACTTTAATATTTAATGCAATATTAATCTTCTAGAGATATGTGACGAAATGTTCAATTTTTGAAAATTAAATACTCCCCAATTATTTGATACTGATTTTGCACGGTTACCAATAAGATGTTCTGTAATAGGACAAAGGGACCTTGTCACGTAAAAGAAAAATTATATTTTTTCTTATTATTGAAACCCATAATAATTATAAATTGGTGAAGGCCATAAAGATTAACTAACTTAACCTAACCTTTTTACTTTTTTAATGTTCGAGTATAAGTTTGNAAGTTCTGTCCGATCTTAAAAATCAGGGTTCGTAACATCTCTTTAATCTATTAATGCTATTTTTTTTTTTATAATTTTAACTACGAAAGATATTGTGCATTGTTGTTAAATTCTTATCACTGTAGTTTAAAGTAAAATTTATTTAAATCATAGGTTGTCATTTGAAAATTATTGTTGTTATTAAAATGGGTAAAATTAAAATAAAAAAAGTTACTACTGCTGATGGATATTCACTTTTTTTAAGTAGGAAATTAGAAAGCTAGGATACATAAGGTTATTTTATTTATTTATACATTGATTTTATAATAATATACATATAAGTCATACTATAGGAATATTTGGAAACAGTGTCTTTAGTTTCAATGAAATCTGACAGATATTGCTTTTGTATTTATTGGAATTTGTAAACTTGTTATTTATATAGATTGTAGATGCTGAATATGTAACTAGCTGTTGTGTGAAGCGACTGTTAAGTTGTCCTTTTTTTTTCGTTTACCTGCAAATATAAAATAAATTAAATATTAAATCAAGTATAGTAATTTTTCCGCTCACAAGAAAATAAATCTTTCTTACTACTTCACAAATTGACTATAGTAATATTTTTTTTTTTATGCTCTTCTTTTCGTTGAACCAAAAACTTTTGGTTTCATCATTTTGGAAAAAACAAAAATTCCAACCATATTTTTAATTTNAGTTGTCGTTTTTTTTCGTTTACCTGCAAATATAAAATAAATTAAATATAAAATCAAGTATAGTAATATTTCCGCTCACAAAAAAATAAATCTTTCTTACTACTTCACAAATTGACTATAGTAATATTTTTTTTTTTTTGATGCTCTTCTTTTCGTTGAACCAAAAACTTTTGGTTTCATCATTTTGGAAAAAGCAAAAATTCCAACCATATTTTTATTTTTAACACAACAATATGATAAATAATACAGTACACAGTAGCAATGTGAACTGTAACAATATTTACCAAAAATGGCAAAAATATCTAACTATATTATTATTATTAGTTTGTAGATTATTTAATTTTATTTGCAAAAGTTTTAAAATATTAATTATTGATAAAATAATACTAAATTAATTTATCACAAACACCAC